CCACATTAGTACCTTCCAAGTTACAAATGGGAGATAACAATAATACCACATATCAGATTATCATTATTAAGGACGTTAGCATTTATTTTTAAAATTTTTAAAGATTTAATTTGAAAGAGTTAGAGAGTGAGATATCTTCCATTTCTGGTTCACTCCCCAAATGGCCACAATGGCCAGGGTGAGCTGATCCAAAGCCAGGAGCCCAGGTGCTTCATCAGGGTCTCCCATATGGGTGCAGGGGCCAAGGACTTGGGCCATCTTCGACTGCTTTCCTAGACACATTAGCAGGGAACTGGGTCTGAAGTAGAGCAGCTGGGACTCAAATTGGCACCCACATGGGATGCCAGCGTTGCAGGCGGCAACTCAACCTGTTGCGCCACAACGCCAGTCCTATGTTAACATCTATCTAGAACTTTCTATGGGCCTCTAGTTAATATGCTAAACTTTTAATAAGCATTGTCTCATTTAATCACCAAAACCAGCTCCCATTAAATGAGTTATTTCTTAACGGTGGGACCTCAAGCCAGTTCTGGAACCCCTGATCTGCAAAGTGGAGGTGATCATGGCACCTACCTCGGGAGGTCGTGAGGATGAGGAAATTAAACAACCCATGAAAAGTGCTTAGCCAAAGTGCAAGTTCAAATAGTGGTAGCTTGTGTCCCTGTTTTACATATCAGGATGTGCAATCGAAGGACAGCAAGTATGTGGCCCAAGCTCCCAGAGCCGTGGTCCAGTGAGGTCTACTACCCACAGTGGTACACCACTGCTCTTAGCTACTTGATGCTTTAATTAAATAAGTGAATCATTTAAGTCGTGTCTTTGTCCCCTGACTGTACGGTGTCCAAGAGACAAGTTGGGTTGCTTAGAGCTAACACATCCCTCACTGACCATCCCGCAGCCCAGAAAGAGCTGATGATGGCTGGAGGGGTGGAGGGTGAACCCATCAGTGCTGTTGGGAGCCCGAGTTGGGGCAACTCTGATTTTCCCAAGCCAGTCATGACTCACTGCGGTCCTCTCGGGATAATTACTGACAGTAACTGCTCAGCCCCCCAAAGCCCCAGTTTGGATACCCATGGGGGTGACATCTTCAGCAAAGGAAGAACAGCATGGTCTCCTTATTGGCTCTGTGCTCCTGTTCACAGACTCTCAGCAGCCATATCTTCTACACCTGACTTTTTATCCCACCCCTTACTGCTGGTTGCTTCATTCCATCTTTTCCAGATCCCCCCTCCATACTTTCCCAGTCTGCAGGCATTCGTTGTGCTGGACAGTTTAGGGATGTAGGTCCTGGAGCCCTCGGCTGGGGGCTGGGGGCTGGGGGCTGGGGGCTGGGGGCTGGGGGCTGGCTCTCCAGCTCACACCACCTTCTCCCAAGCTCTAGTGACCTCAGCTAAGGAATAGCGCTGGCTTCATGAGGCTGGATTATACAGTGCTTGGACAGTGTTAGCTGTCAGTTGGCCACACTATTATCCTTTTGTGGGAACAATAAAAAGAGATCATGGTGGAGTCCAGTAAACGAGACAAGGAATCCTCCCACTTTTATCACAGTTGTCCCTGTGAGGCACCAGAATGCCGCACAGAGCGGGACTAAGGCTCCTTGTGTACTGGCGCAGAAGAGCATTGGTGAACAAGACAGGAGGCTCCGATTACTTCTGTGCGAATTATCAGTGGCACTGCAGGTCCCCTCCCCAACCTTGTCAACCTATCTGGGGTCCCACTGCCACTTTTCATGTGCTCTGGAATAGTCTTAGCTTGTAAGAGGATACTATTGAAACTCAGAGCCCCTCCCCTGCCTGCTTTCCCGTCATGGCGGCCCTGCGCGTGAGTGTGGCTCTGTATTCTCTACTCCAGCTCATCCTGCAGCAGGCTGCTCTCGGCTAAGCACTCCCTCGCTGGTGTGAGAACTGAGTGGTATGGTGGACAGGACCCCTTCTCTCTTGGTAGGAGCACCTGAAGTTTTCTTTGCCGAACCACCCCTTCCCACTCTTAGTAGGAGTGGTTTTTGGGACTAAGCCTTCTTCCCACTGCAGCTGTGGGTACAGGACCGAGGCCTCCTCCATAGGGTCACTGTGATTAGCCCCCGAAGGACCTCTTGACTCGGCCTGAGCCACTGAGAAGCAGACCTGAGACTCGGGCTGGTGTGGAGGGAAAGGGCTTCTCCTTCCTTTGCAAGGCTACGTGAGTTGGACACCACCGGCGGCCATTTTTGCCCTTGGAGGCTGAAGTCCACAGAGAACAAATCAGAGCTGACGCATGGGAAAAAGATGGGTTTCTGATGACATTGTTTTGGCATCTGATCCAGCTGTGCCTGAGGCCGGTCTACCACTGACTACTGAGCCAATTAAATCATGCTTTATGCTTACGCCATCTTAAGTTTCCGTCACTTGCAAGCAAGCGTCCTGGTTAATGCCAACAAGGAAATGTGTCATCCCCCAGGGAAGGTTTTCATTTTGACCCTGGACGTATCTGCAGCCTAGAGAGATGAATTGGTGAGATGGAATTTTCATTTGTCAACGTCAGGGTGAGGTGGTAGCCAGAATACTTTGGAATGGGGCTAGGAAGGAGACCCTTCAACCTCACCCACCCAGGCTTTCATCCCTGGGGGCACAGAGACTGGTCTAGTTCTAGGGGCCAAGCCCACTGCCCAGAGCAGCTCCTGTGACCCCTCCACACAACAGTTCTCACTGAGACCATTCAAAGTGAGGGCTCTTGAAGCCAGCAGCAGCTAGCCCTGCGGTGAGAATTACAAGTTACTAAGTGCGAAGCAGCCAGGGTGGCAGCTCGCCCTAGAAGTGTCACCTCGCATCCTCTCTCTGTCCCTGGCCTGCCTGGGCAGCGAGCTGGACATCAAGGGAGAGTCTATTTTTCTGAAAACTAAATGGCTCTGCCATCATCAGATGATTCTGCAGCACCGTGAGTATAGTTAAGAGTCCTGTACTGTAGACTTGAAATTCCAAGACAGCAGATCTTTCATGTTCTCAGCACAGACACAGAAGTGACCGCACGAGGGGAGAGATGTATTACCTAAGTTGATTGTGGTGGTCATTTCACAATGTATACAGGCATCAAGCCATCACACTGTCCACCTTAAACACTCACAACTTCATGTGTCAATTACAGCTCAGTAAAGCTAAGATGAAGAAAGAAATATAGTGCCCATGATCTGTGATGAAATAAGAGACATTTGCGGCCGGCGCTGTGGCTCAATAGGCTAATCCTCCGCCTGTGGTGCCGGCACACCAGGTTCTAGTCCTGGTCGGGGTGCCGGATTCTGTCCAGGTTGCTCCTCTTCCAGTCCAGCTCTCTGCTGTGGCCCGGGAGTGCAGTGGATGATGGCCCAAGTCCTTGGGCCCTGCACCTGCATGGGAGACCAGGAGAGGCTCCTGGCTTTGGATTGGCGCAGTGCACTGGCCGCAGTGGCCATTGGAGGGTGAACCAACGGTAAAAGGGAGGACCTTTCTCTCTGTCTCTCTCTCACTGTCCACTCTGCCTGTCAAAAAATAAAAAAAAAAAAGATGTTTGCAGAGGCATATGTGCAGAATGATGATGTTTATATACACATATATATGCATTTTTATATCTATATATGAATAGACAAGCTCTGGGAATAAACACAGCCATGCCAAAAAAAAAAAAAGGCCTTCCCTGCTGGCAGGAGGCGGTGTGGGGGTGCAGGGGGAGAGCCAAGATCAAGTCACATACCAGACTCGCCTTCTTTTGATTTTGTAAGTCAGAGTGGCTGCTCTTGTTTTCTTTGAAAGAAGATCATTTTCTGACCTCAGAGAGAGGGCTCGCCAAACAGCCTCTCGCAGTGGGTGGGACCTGTGAAGAATGCAAGATTGAGAAACAAAAAAAAACCTACTTTGCAGATGATGGCTGGGATCTGGGATCCCGTTCACACAGACGTGAGTAACATTCATTCACAGCTCTCCAGTGAGGTCAGGCCCAGTTCCTCATCTCCGGGGTGGTTTTACATTAAGCGCTGAGAGCAGGCTTCATGTGTGATTTATTAAGGAAACACTCCAGGGGAAGCCACCGAGGAGGGGAAGCTCCCAGGGCAGCAAACTTGGTGAGCTTCCAGCCTCGTCCCCATCCTGCAGGGCGGCTCTGGGGGGCAGGTCATGCCTGGCTGCCCCCCACCGAAGGCACGGAGGTGGACTTCCAGACCCCCTCACTGGCCGGGGCAGTGTCCAGGTAAGGGCTGCCCCAGGGGGAGGGAAGACACAAATTCACAGCCCTGTGGGCTGCTGTACCTGTAAGCAGAGTAACGGGGTGACCCAGAGCAGTGAGGCGTGAAAGCTCTCGGAAGGGGAAGCAGGGGGGAAGCAGCCCACAGATGCGGCACTGCAGGGGTGAGAGCCAGGAGAGCTGAATTAGGGTTCTCCAGAGAAACAGAGTAGGATGGGGGGGGTGGTAGATGGATGAATGAATACATATAGAGTTTGATGATAGGTAGGTAGATAGATACAAAGATACATAATAGAGGGTGAACATATAGTAGAATATTCGAGATGATAGGTATGGAAAGAGAGATGGATGTGTAGACAGAGATGGAGAGATGGAGACAGATGTGTAGACAGCGGTGGATGGACAGATTAGAGATGGATAGGTCGGTAGATAAGTAGGTATGTGTTAGGAGCGAATGGCTCCTGCATAGTGCAGCCTGAGAAGTCCCACAGGGGCACATGCAGGCTGGAAGCGCAGCAGAGCCCATGGTGTGGATCCAGTCCACACCTGAGCAGGAAGAGTTCCATGTTCCCAAGGAAGCACAGACAGACTCACCCTCCTCTGGCTTTTTGTTCTTCCAACCCCTCTGCGGTGCCCACCCACACTGGTAAAGACCACCTGCTTCCCTCAGCCCATGGATTCAGCGCTAACATCTTTCAGAAACAGCCCCCCTCCCAGACACTTCCAGGACGAATGTCCTACCAGCCACCTGGGCATCTTTTAACCCAGTCAAGTGCACATGAAGTTAACCATTGTAAGTATTTGGCAAACACTTATGACAAAAGATTTCTAAAGGCAGGGTGACTATGCTCATCTGTTGTGGGAGAATTAAACCAGTTCCTGAAGACTAAAACCCCTTGTTTCTCTGAGGCTCACCACCACCACCACCTTTACCTACCATTTATAACCCCTTCCTGTTGCTGTGGATTCGCTCTGAGGGGAGGAGCATGGTGGGGGCAAGAGGTGTGGAGTCACCACACAGACCCTGGAAGATGGGTGAAAGTGGGCCAGAGGCGAGCAGCCCACAGACTCGTTTATTTCAGGTGGTACAGTAGCTTAGATAGCCAAGGCAGCCAATCTGATCAAGGGGCGGTTTATGCCCTATCCAATCACACCCTGTTGCCAGGCAGACTCTGTTGCCAGGGTTTTCGAGGCCATTCCTGAGTAACTGATTCTCACTTGCCAGCAGCCATCTTGGCATGGCCTTCTCATTCCACCACACCTTCCCACCCCTTGTATCTGACACGCACACACAAGTCAGCCCTCCACAGGGAGGTCAGGGGAGCTGCTGCTTCCCCAGACTCAGGTCTGGAGACTGAGGGACTCGATCCTGTTCTGTCTGACTCTGGGCATGGACGCAAGTGATGTGATGTGGACTTAGAAGGTGAGGTTGCTGTTGTCAAGTTGGCCAGGTCCTGTGAGGCAGAGAAAACGAAGCCGTGGAGAGAGCCCACCAGCGGGTCACCTGCCAGCCATCAGTAAGAGCTGGCTGTGCACAAGGCGCCAAGCCCCCCGGGGGGAGTTCATCTACCCTCACCACAGCCCTCCAGGGCAGGAACCATGGGGATTCTCATCCAAAGTCCGTGGTTTTGCAGATTAGCCAAGGTCACACCGCTGGAAAAGGTGAGGTCAGGGCCAAGACGGGGACTGAGTGCTCGGAAGCCTGGATTAGACTCTGTGGCCCCTGCGAGCAGAAGGCCTGGCGGAGGTAGAGGTTTGCTGCCCGCGTTCCCACTGCTCCCCATCCTCCCTCAGACACTTGCCCAAAAAAACTCACTGCACCCCCTGAATCTCAGAAGAAATGCCCCCAGCCCTTTTTGTAAGTGGTATTGCGTTTTCAATACCCGTTTCTACTTGTCCACTGCTGGTGTATAACAAAGAGGTTGACCTTTTGTGTTAACCTTGTATCCCACATCACTGCTGTAATCGCTCGTTAGTTCCAGAGTGGGTTTTTGTTGTTGTTGATTATTTTAGGTTTTCCACTGAGACAATCTTATCTGCAGGTAAAGGCGATGTTATTTCCCCCTTTCCAATCTACATCCCTTTAACTTCTTCTTTCTTCCCCTATTTTTTATTTTTCAATTAAGCGCAACTTACAGTGGATTTCTACTTCTTGCAACTAAAAGACTCAGGACACCAGCGCTTGGTGAAATGCGGAAGACACTGAAATTTGTTTTCATTCTTTCCAACTCTGGAAGTTCCCATTCTGCACCTGTGCCCCAGGGTGGATGCGATGGTTTCACCCAGGTTAGACCCTAGGGTCTGTGCCCCACGGTGGATGCAATGGTTTCACCCAGGTTAGACCCTAGGGTCAGAACAGGCAATGCCTGGGTGATGCGGTATCAGCAGCTGGATGCCTGTATTGCCTCTGCTGCAGCTCGCCCTTCCGCTCTGGGAAGATGAGGGTGGAAATCCCACCCCGGCCCCCACCCCCGCCCCCGCCCCAGGAGAGGACGTTCCCTGAGGAGGGGGTGGTATGACAAACAGCCCCAGATTCTAAGACATCAGGGGCATCAGGCTTGATGTTAGGTTTCCATGAAGTCAGAGGGGCTTGATTTTCTTTCTCCGGCTGTAGGAAATGTTAGGGTGCTCTGTTTAACAAGAGAAGCTGAGCAAAGTACAGAATGGAAGAGAAAACCGTACAAGGCCACCGACCTCATCCAAGATAAAGCTTCTAACAGCACAAGCATTTAATATAAACTTACAGAGGATTAAGCAACGTTTTGCCCTAAAACTATTGCCTGTTAATGGGAAGTTATGAGAGTGTCCATAAGAAATGGAATATAAAGAAGTTTAAATGTAAGACTTGTTGCTTCAGTGTAGTCACTTTGTTTATAAAACACTTAAGATGTAAGACTGTGCATACATACATTCTGTAAGGTATAGATGCATACAGGGAATGTCTACTATCACTAGAATGTAAATCTTTCAAAATCTTCTTTAACTTTGCTGAGCAAAAAATTTTCAACGGAGCCTTTGCATTCTTCAAGAATCTGTGTCAACTGTCATTCAGTCCTTCACATCAAAGACACTTGTAGCTCAAATCTCAGAAAGTAGGGTTAAAGAGCTACGTCTGACATTCCAAAGTTGAACTCGTGAAATCAGTATTTTAAGATAAAACACCTTCAAATGACATTTAGGTTCCAAAACAAATCAAGAGACTTGGTTTTGTCAGTCATCCTAACCACAGATGGCAGAAGCCTGGCAGGAATGGCTCGCTGCCTCTGTGAGATCCCGGCCGCGGGCCCCAGGGCATTGGCACAGTCTCTCACTGAACCTGCCTGAGGTCTGAGAGGGCCTTTCTGTGCAGTGTTCCAGGCGCCTGTAGCTCATGGATGCAAAATGTTACAAATGGTTATCAACAGCTCACAGGCTATGGCTTGCACAGTGTCTGAGTGTGTCCCCGGGGGCTTCATGTGTGACAATTTAACCTCCTCCATGGGGTACTGAGAGGATGGAAATGATTTGGCTGTGGCATTTAGAGGTGGTGCCTTTGGAAGGTGATGGGTAACAGACAAGGTCAGCACGTGGGGCCCCTGCGATTGAATCCTGGAGGTTTCTTAAGAGGGAGAGCGAGCAGAAGAGACGCACACACACGCTCCCCACCGCTCCCCTGAGATACCCTGCGCTGCCTCAGAATCTCCCAGCTGGAAAGCCATCATCAGATGCAGCCCTGAGACCGGACCAGAACTGTGAACCCAAATCAGCCTCGTTTCTGTAGAAAGTTACCCAGCTCGACTCATTCCCACACAGCACCCTGTGGTGTAACCCAGTGTCTCCTGCACTCCGCCCCTCCCCCCCCCCGGGTCGAGTTGGCCCAGCTGTGGGCGGAAGTGCGAGAACTCTGGATCCCGGGTGGAGGTAGGGGGAGGGAAAGGTAGAACCCCATGGGATAAGGGGGCCCATGGGTGCCGCAGTCGGCTTCCTCGTCTTTCCTGCGACCCGGGCCTTGCTCTCCCCACAGCTGTGGCCGCCCCAGGCAGGGTCCTCCGATCTCAGCCACCCCTCCGTCTTCCACCCGCCTCCCAGTGCCCCATCATCTCCCACAGACCTGTGCTCCTGGGAACCTTTGGCTAAGGATGTCTTTCTCCTCACTCCTCTCCCTCCTTTGGAACGCTGTGTGTTTCCAGGTGACTCAAAGGCTCCCTGCCCGCAACCTGCCCGGATCTTTCTCCTCCTCCCAGACCCTGGCTCCCCCTTGTGGGCTCCTGAGTGGCTTCACCAGGCCCTTTGGACTGGGGCGTGCGTCTGCCAGAGAGCTGAGGCTTCCAGGGTAAACCTATGAGTTACTCTGTTTGCTCAGGGCCTGCTACAGTTTAAAAAATGAGTTGGATTAACTGAGGGACGATGGATTCGGGTGACTCCAGGGCCCTCAGCAGACACGGCCGGGGAGAAGACCCCTTCCTCTTGTCTCTTTCATCTCCCTCCACCCCCCGAAAATGTCAAAGCGTGCATTTTACCCTAATCAGCCACCCGACGGCCCCTTTTCGAATAAGCTGCAGGAAACCTTGGAGAATCTCTGTTGCACAGCACATTTAAAAAACAAACAAACTGTAATGTTTACAACATTGCTGAAAACACGTGCATTTTATATGTGAGAAGTCTGACTTGCAGTGGCTTGTAAAGTTGAAAACAACCCGGATTGTGCCTTGCGTGGCCGGCGACAAGGCCCGGACCCTTGCCAAGTCTGCTTTCACTTCTGTGAAATGAAGGGATAGGCAGCGGTGCCTGAGGTCTCTTTCGCTGTAATGTTCCAGAAGATTCTAATTCCCTCGGGTGCTTGTAGGGGAAAAGAAGGGAAGCTGCCTTTTGGATCTAGGAGTCTTGCACCCCTTCCTTTCTGTCCAGGCTGGGAGAGACCCAAATGCAATGTCATTCAGGTCAAAGAAAAGTTGAATCTTCTAAAAAAGGAGCTATTTCCCCTGCATGTCCTGACCATCGCCAGAGGAAGCCCCCCCGCCCCCCACCCACAAAGGTTAAAGAGATCATTGCTTTAAAACTTTCCTCCGTCTAGATGGAGGCTGTCGCCCTGGGCTGGTGGAGTGACAGACAGAACCGACTTTTCCCTCGTCTCTGCTATGCAACGCAGGGAAAAGCAACTTGGCTTTTCTGAGTGGATCGCTATATGCATAACAAATTATTCTAAAACTTGAAACATCTGGGCCTTTCAGTACAGAAGAGAAAGAGCCCCTTCAGTGAAGCCTTGCACTGGTTGTGAGGTGTGCAGGGCTCCTGGGAAAGCCCCAGGTGGCATTCAAGTCTGTCTCAGCTCCTTACTGGGCCCATGACCCTGGTGAGTTACCGAACTTCTCTTTCACTCAGTTCCTCCGTCTACAAAATGGACACAGAAGTACTATATGGCAATTATGTGAATGATAATAGATACTGCATGTTAGACAGCTATTACTTAGGGTAACTACCATTTAATCTTCACTTTTTAATCTGTAAAATGGGATTCCCAATAGCTACTTGTTACTAAGAATGTAAAGGAAAGGAAATCAAATCATATATCTATGTAAAATGTGGGAGGGGAAACTTTTTTTCAGCCAAGAGCCACTTGGATATCTATGACATCACTCGCAGGCCGTACAAAATTATCAGCTTATAATTAGTCTGCTCTGGATTCATTGAACTTTGAGTCCTCTGGTTGCCTTGGCAGGGCCACAGCATATGATTCTGCAGGCCGACTAGCACCTGCAGGTTGGACGTTCCCTACCTGGGCAGGCGACGCGTGGCCCATTTCTTCATCAATACTCAACAGATGCCTAGAGAGAGCCAGAGAGCCACAACTGGCACTTGACTCCCATCCCATGCCAACGGCCCAGAATAAATGGAGCCCTTCTGTTCTTTTTGTGTGTGGTTATGACAGCACAGAAATAAATCAGGGCTGGGTGCTAGTTTTTCTCCTGAGGTTGGTGAGCTTTTATTTTAAAATAATACCAAGCTTCCCTTGGCAGCACATCTTGGCTCAGCAGTCTCCACTGCAGAATTGAAGGTCCGCTTCTCCCCATTCTCCCCAGGATAGTTTTATAGAGGAAGCACACGCGCTGGCGCTCTTTCTCCCCGGGGGCTAACAGCGAATTCCCGTGTGTTGAAAATTGAGTTGGAGGGAAAACGAAGGAAGGATCGCGTCATGAGGCTTTATGTCTCCGCATAGTTTTTAACACATTGTGCCTAGGCAACTTGATGTGTTTCTGCTGTGAAATTCTTCAACTTCGGAAAATGTGATAGCAACAGGGGCCCAAAGAAGAGACACTGCTGATACCCCACACTTCCTAGAAATGAAAATGTTCCCTGGCAGAATGACACTCCCCGAGACGAGCTATTCCGGCATTTATGCGAGCGCACACTCAGGACAGGGAGCACGTGGTGTGAGGCCCGAGCTTACAGCACTGTGGTCTGACAGGAAGGAGAAGAGGCCAAAGGGGAGATGATCCCTCTGCTCCACGTGCCCACGCCCCCTCCTTCCAGGATTATAAGGAGGAAACCCGGCCCAATTTGTGTTTAAATTCACAAGAGAAGCGGAAATGCACACTGTGCACCTGCCACGTGTTTGAGACCTGACTACTTTCCACCCCATCCCACCCACCCCCCACTGCTCTTGCTTATCCGCTGCTGTAAGTTGTGCACCTCAGAAACATGGGTGACTCATAGGAAATGTGCGGCTTGCTGAGGAGGAAGCGAGAGCTGAGGCTGATTTTCATATCACAGTCTCCACGTTCAAGTTCATCCTGGCACAGGATAATGACAGAAAGTGATGGAGGCGCAGAGCCACAGTACCCTGATGAGCCCCCAGGGAATTCTGTCCTCTCGAATGCATCCTTGGCAGCTACCCGATTCGATTTATGTCAAGTGCTGTGTAAAGCAGAGAGACATTGCAGTTAACTGTAGAAATCGGAATAGCAGAGACTGTTAGAACAACGTGCGTTTCTCTATCTCTCAAATGGAGTTTCTCATATATAGTTTGCCATTCTAGGGCGCTGTGTCCAGTTGCAGTAGTGAAGAATACTTCGGGGCTGGCTCTGTGGTGCAGCAGGTTAAGCCACCACCTGCAGTGCCAGCAGTGCATATGGACAATGGTTCAAGTCCCCGCTGCTCCTCTTCCAATCCAGCTCCCTGCTGATGGCCTGGAAAAGCAGAGGAAGATGGCCCAAGTGATTGGGCCCCCACACAACATGGGAGACTCAGATGGATTTCCTGCCTCCTGGCTTCAGCCTGGCCCATGCCTGGCTGTTGTAGCCATCTGGGCAGTGAACCAGCAGATGAAAGACGAACATACACACATACACACACACACACACACACACACACACTTTTATCTGCTGTTTCACTCCCCAAATGACTGCAATTGCTGGGGTAGGGCCAGGCTGAAGCCAAGAGCTTCTTTCAGGTCTCCCACGTGGGTGCAGGGGCCCAAGCACTTGGGCCATTGTTATGGGTCACGGGGTGGGGGTGGGGGGGCGCGGGCGGATCAACTCCCTGAGCAAGTTTCATGGGTTCTTTTCCTCAGCTTAGTATAGAAATAAAAAGCCGGGAAACAGTTTGCAAAGAGGCAGAAACTTTTATTTGATCGGCAAGCATCTGAAAAGGCATCTGTTCTAAGAGGAGCCCAGGCGGAGTGCCCGAGCGGGACACTGGCTTTGAGGATGCGTCCTGGGTTTTTAAGGCACTGCTGTTCTTTTCCATTGGGTTTCACATACTGCATGTTGATTGGCTTGGGGCTCATGGAGATAGTGGGGGTCCCCTGGAGATGGCCTGTCTCCTTAGGGACTCATCCCCCTCCTCTGCCAGCTGTGGGTGAAAGCTT